CTACGGCACAAAAAGTGCAAAAACGCATAATCGCACCGGCCCGCCTGGTGCGTTCCAGCCTGGGTTTTTTTTTACATGCGAATATGAGTGCGTTTGTCTGTGTTTGTTTGTGTGTTTGTGTACAATTGTTCGCGTTTGGTTAAATGTTTGTTTGCGTCCGTGTGTATTTACCGTTTAGCTATTAATATTAGGTCAAACCACGCATAATTTAACAAGGTGCTAGAAAAAACGGAATCCAGATTTCTGGAGCATGTCTCTAACCACATACAATACTCAAAATCGATCCGTCTGATTTATGATGTAACTTAGCCATTTCAATAGAATGATCGAAGCTAGGATCTCAAAGCTTTGAAGAGTAGCATAATGTATAAATGCGTTTGACATGGTCGGGAATTAGACTGCAAAACTATAATATTAGAGCAAAAACAGGGCTAGGTACTCTGGGTTCTAGAAGTTTAATTTGGCGCGCAAAGCACCTTGAAGGTCCAAAATCAGCTGCTTCATTTTTTAAGTGTGCGCCCATATTCGCGCTCAAATTGTAAAGATTGCTAAATTTATAACTGCTTACTTTGTGACTTCAAAAGATTACGCTCCTGCAGCACTGCGGCAGTAATCCAAAAGTATCGACGTTTCTCTGATGAGCGCGGCTGTTCATTATCCGTTATTAACGATGAAAATAAAGAGCACTGTAAACGGAAGGGAAAGGGAGAAAAGTCGGTATTTGCAGCTGTGGCCCTTTTTGTTTCGGCCTTTGCCGACAAATATTGAAATTATATCCACAGGAAGCAACTCGAGAAACGAAGCACTGTTACAGGTATTGCTATCAGTGCTCGCTGATCAAGCCCGATCGGAGCCATCACTGCTCGTCCTGTGGATTCTGCGTTGTGAAGTACGACCATCACTGTCCATGGATTAACAAATGCGTCTCATTCAACAATTACAAATATTTCATGCTCTATCTTATCTACGGCTGTTTCTTGTTAGCATGGTATTATCAATTTTCCTTT